ACTGTGAACACATATTGCTTTAGCCTCAGCATGGTAGAAACCACGCACCATACCATCGCAACACCTCAGGTGGCAGCAGAACCGAAACACACAGGCAACAAGCAACAAGGCAACGCACAGACTGGAGGGCACGGGGGAGGAGGGAGGGCACACGACACACCAGCAAAAAAAAGCAGGGAAAAGACCACAACAATAAGTCCTAAAAAAGATAAGCAAAAAGAATAATAAACTGATGATAGATTGTTTCGTCGGAGTTGCACCGACTCATTAGGAGGCTGAACCCGCGACAATCTGCGGAATCTCCGTATTGATGGTTTGGGTCATTAACCCTTTGACCCATGTTGAAGGCAGACTTTCCCCAAGCGGAACATAGCAGCAGGACAACAACTCAGCGAAGCACCAGGCAACGCTGCCGGAGCAACCCGACTGCACAACGCCAAAAACGACTGCAAGGAAACGACACGGGTAGCGGACGAGTAGCAGGGCAACAGCGCGGCGAAGCACAAGGCAGCACCAACACTGCAGCCATACTACTTGGCACACAAGAAAGGGACATGGAAGTCATGGCAGGCAGATAGGCAAGCGGACGAGCACCAGCGCAACTGTGCGGCGAAGCACAAGGCAGGACCAACACAGCAAGCACACTACATGACACACAAGCAAAGAACATGGAAGGCATGCGGATGGGCAGCAAGGCAGCAGTGCCGCGAAGCAGAGGGCAACACTAACACCACAACCACACCACACAGTGAATACAACAGCCTTGCAAAGAACTACATGCAACACAATCAGGACTGGCAACTAGGCAGCGGTGGAGCGCAGACAAGGCAGTCTACACATCCAACATGGAGCAAAGCGGCACATCACCTACTCATATCACGATTGAACCCCGCAGATTGTTGGTTCCCACCACTCGCTGAGCCAGGGAGTCACCCAGACGAACATCCGTCATCACCCACAGGCAACACAAACATCCCAAACCGAGCGGCTCCCCTAAGAGTGCCGTAGGAGCTCCAAACAACGGACCACCTACTGTTTAGCACTTCACGAGGGTGCTCACTCCAACAGACAGCAAGTACTTCGGAAAAAAAACGGGGGAAGGAGGAAAAACAAGAAAAGACACAGACATACATTAAACTGATTTTGTGTGTGTGTGTGTGTGTGTGTGTGTGTGTTTTGGGTGTGTGCTCATATGCACGACATACCACGACGAGTGTGTCTGGCCTGTCTCTTATACACATCTAGATGTGTATAAGAGGATTGGGTGTGTGCGTGCATGAGTCACTGTGTGTGCGCTGGCGGGGGGGGGAAGGGGAAAATGCAGACTCGTGCCAACCATTACCTTCGTCTTTTCTGTCTCCCAACATGGCATCATCAAGTCTCTGCATGGGAGCTGTCTCTCTGCCTGCCCAACTACTGGATTCACATAAAAGGTCAGGATGTTGCTGCACGTGGCATGTCTACTGTTTTCAGAGGGAGAGCATGTCGTCCAATCCTGAGGCCAATCGCCAAAAGCTCGAAGGAACATACCAACTCGGCAAGTAATTTTCAAAACCGATTGCAGTTTTCTATGGATCGTGAAATCGAGGAGGAGATGGGCTTGTCGACCGTCTTCAAGTGCATTGTCATTGTGCGTGACGAGAGAATTTACGTTGAGGGCATTCACGGCATGATTGGGAGTGTGGTGCAAGATGGCTGCTTCCTAGAAGGTGTCCACGTTCGTGGTTCCTTGATTTTCAGCATACCGGAAATGGAATCGTTTATCGTAAATCAGGTGAGAAGATCATTTCTTTTTCTTTTTCTGAACATTATAAAAGAACAGATAATCAACGAGCCAACAGTAAGGTAAAGAAAAGGAAGAGTGGCATACGAAGATGCAAAAGAACGGTTTCAGTGTGCTCGTCGCGTTTGTCTTGTGTATTTATCGTTTGTTAAACTTATTTCACAAATTTGCACCTGATTCTTCCAATCGAGCTTTTACACTCTCTGCTGCTGCTTCAGACATTCCTTCTTTAATTTGGTAAGATCTTTCAATAAATTATTTTGCTTCTTTGAGTCTGTTACGATCCTGGCTATTTCCGAAATGCAAATTCACAAGGAAAGACAATGCCACCCAATTGCAAAAGAAATGAAAGCACTTGAAAAGAGATAGCGACCAAAGACGAAGAAAGAAGAAGAAGAAGAGGAAGAAGATGTACACACTTGCAAAGAGATAGCGACCAAAGACGAAGAAGAAGAAGAAGAAGAAGAAGAAGAAGAAGAAGAAGAAGATGTACACCAGCAAGACCAATGACAAATCCCCCTTCTCTCTCCACTCTCCTCCTCCTCCTTGTCTCCACCGATATTATTCTTCTCCAAAATAATGACAATAACAACGAGTGGTTGAACCAGAATCAATATCCGAAGCTCTGTCTTACTGCCAGCACAACAATAGGTCCGCCATAGCCATGGCCTCCCTCTTCTCCTTCCTCTCACAGGACGAGGCTATGGCGGACTACTAAGGGCCCTGCCCTCCTGTGTAAAAGACAACGCAAAGCGGCAATGGCCGCTGCTCTTCAGGCCGTCATGTCTGACTCTGCCTCGAAGCGTCCTTTGTGCGGCTCTACCCCAACTGGGGCCTTCCAGATGCTGCGCCTAACAAGGTGATGAAGATGGTGTCCACCATAGCCAGGTAGGTCCCTCACCACTCTCCTCCTTTGGCCCCTTCTTCCCCCTCCTCAGGCTGGGATGCTCACCATAGCCAGGCAGAGCGCCCAGCTCTCCTCGTTCCTTCCAGGCAGCGCACTGAAAACGAGCGCCCGTTCAAGCAGCATGACGCCGGCCCAAACTTGCATACCGCAAATGAGGTAGAGCCCAGCGCTCTACCTGGAGATATAGCGGCCTACTTGCCGCTTGGGCGGTGACTTCCAGGCCACACGGCCTCCAAGCATTCGGTACCTCCTCCCTTTCGGAGGGAAACACCATTGCAGGCTCCGATATCGTCCTCACAGGCCCTAGACTCAGGCTACATGGACTGGTACCCGCCTACCTCTAGCCCACCGCTACTGGGCCTCTAAAAATGCCAACTCTTTTTGTCCTCTTCTGCTCGGCCTCCAGTTCCTGACACATCTACCACTGCTTGAGTGGTACCGGCGTACCTGCTACTTGAGTGTTTTTGTCGCGGGCCTACTCCCCGCTACTTGAGTGTTTTCCCCGCTGCAACCCTCAAAAGTCATGGCCACAGGTAAGTACCAGCCCCGCGGGCCTCGCAACAAACAAGTGCCCTGTCGGGCCACACACACACTCAGGCTGACGTGCACTCAGACAGGCACACGGACCAGCAAGCACGCACATACACACACAGACTTAGGACAAAAGCAGAACGCCGGAATCGCAGCAAGGCATACATAATACATTCCAGCGGCAAAACCCAGAAATCAGCAGTGTTCTCAGTCTGTGTTTTGGTGGGTCATCATTGCAAGTGCTCGATTTGTAATACTACGAATCACTTCGATTGCTGTGATTCTAGTCGAGACTCTAGAGAGCTAGGTACTTCTTCGAGAATGATATCGGATTCAGTTTTTTGAACTTTTTCATTTTTTATTTTTTTTTTGAACATTTTCAGGAAGGGGATTTGAGTCCGTTTTTACTTTTAACTCTTTTTAGTCATGGATTGTCACTCTTATTTCAGCTGCCACTATCTGATATCAACATGTGGATGAGAGTAAACAATACTAAAAGTACTAAAAATATTAAAATAATTAACTTAAATTAAGGCGAGTCTACTCATTTGGGGGTGATCAAAACTTTTACTCACATGTACATGCCTTTGTGGCTCAAAAGGTACGTACTGCATGCATCTTACGTTTACTAAACAGATCATGAGTTCGATCCTGAGAGAGACAATAATGCTATTGGCTATGAGTTTGATCCTGATTCCTGACAGATCACGGGTTAAAAACCATATCTCGATAAACCAAGCCCTTCCAAGTTCCAGTGCCTCCAATCATCAATGCAATGGCAATGTAGCTCTCCTATAGAGGCGTCCTGGACGCCGAGTGTACCTCCTATTGCTCCTATCAATCTAGGCTGCGTACGTCGACTAGTCCACTTGTCATCGAGCCCGATACCGATTGAAAACTGTGATCAAACAGCCTGCCTTCGTCAACACCAGTTCCACCAAGGACCTCCGCCACTCCACCGCTGGGCTATGGAGCGAGCAGCCCCGCTATGGCTTCCGCTCTCCCTTCTTCATCTTGCTGCCACCGCACAACTTCCTCCTCTCACTCATGCGCTAAGCAGCTGCTCGCGCTGCGCCGCCACATGCCAGAATGCCCGAATGTGTGAGCCTAGGTGCCCTCCAGTCTTTTCTGCTGACTCAAGAGGCCGAGGATTATGCGCCCTGGATGGGCCCTGTCCCAGTTTCCGGGCGCCTGGGCCCTTCCGGAATGGGCATGTAGGCCCAGCATCCGGAACTAACTGGTAGGCTGGGCCCACCGGGTAGTTGAAGATGCTGTGTGCGTGCTGCAGCTACCCGAGGCCATTTCTGCTCACAGTAACCTGTTCTCAGGCCCAGCTGCATCTCGGCCAGGCCCGCCTCCACTTAGGCAGGGCAGGGCCTCTTTCTGGCTTACCCGCGGTCCTGAACCCTCGCCTTTTTTTTCTTCTGATTTCGAACGATGAATACTTCATGCCATGCGCTGAATGGTTCGGTGTGTCAGCGAATTCTTTTTCCCACTATGAAGTCATCTTAGGGTTTAGGTGTTTAGGGTTAGGGGTCTGAGGGCTGAAGGACTTGGGTTCGTGTAAGTTGAATGACTACCCTGTGGTAATCTCGATGAATTCCAAATATTAATTGTGGGATTTTGGGTTCCATCTGGACGGATAGAATCTAGACGTCCTGGTACATTTGGATAAAGTACATTTGGATAAAGTACATTTGGACTAGGCTGTTTTTCCGGGTGCCCAGGCACCCAACTTATGCCCGGGTACACGCCCGGGTGCCCGGCCGGGCATGACCCCCGGGCAGGGTTCCGGGCAGGCCCAGCGCCCAAAAAAAGAATTTCCAAAAAATCAAAAAATTCTGAAAAAGAATATGTTGTGTAGAATTGCAATACAAACGACTTTTGGCTAAGGGTCACATTAAAATTCTTCACAGAATCGGAGATAAAAAAAGAAAATAACAGAATCACACTAAGGCACACCCTTTTAGACCCCTTTAGCCCCTTTCAAACCAATTTATACCCTCTCACCCCCCCTTGACAGCCAATTCGCAAAAACAGAAATGAGCCCGGATTTGGGGTCGTCTTTTTGTTTTTTTTTGCACCCCCGGGTACCAAGGAAGCGGACAATTCGAAGCCTGTGGAATATAAGAAGTTGTGCACTGTGCAGCAATGATTTACAATGTAACAACGTTTTGGTGACGGTCATCTCGAAACATGCAACCGAATCAGAAAAGAAAAGAAAAAGAAAAAGAAAAGAAAGAAAGTAGAGGATTGTTTTTGGGCAACCCTCCCAGTTCTGGACGTACAAAACATCTGATGCCTGGATGGGTCCAGGATGGGTCCTGTCCCTCCTGTGTACAGGTCCTCAGTACAGGTCATGGCAACCAGCTGGACGTCTGGACCGGTATCCAGATGGTCCGGTTGTCTGGGTATGGGTCCGGCCGGTTGGAACACCTGATGTCTGGTGCCCGGATGGGTCCAGGATGGGTCCTGTCACTCCTGTGTACAGGTCCTCAGTACAGGTCATGGCAACCRGCCGGACGTCTGGACCGGTATCCAGATGGTCCGGTTGTCTGGGTATGGGTCCGGTGTCTGGTGCCGTAGGTCTGGATTGGGCCCAATTTTGAAAAATTCGAAAGTTTTTTTGGGGGGCCCTAGGACGTTTTTCGGGTCCTAGGCTGCCCCCAAAAAATGGCCCCAGTATTTTTTGGCCGTTTCAGATCCTACCGGACGCCGCCAGACGCTTCCAACAGCTCCCTGTGGTGTTGTACTACGCTGGTAGTTTATCGGGTGAGGATGAGTCTGATTCCAAAAGTGAAGCGCTGGCTGCGAAGCGCCACAGAACATCAAGCTGGAGAGAGAGAGAGAGAGAGAGAGAGAGAGAGAGAGAGAGAGAGAGAGAGATGATATTTGTCAGATCTGAGATCCCGTCTTAGATCTGGTCCTGACCAGATGTCAATTCTGTTCTTAGTACTTCTTACACAGATCTGAATATTTTAACAGTTTAAATTTTCAATTTTCATATGAATATGAATTAGAAAGTCTAACTTCAAAGTTTGAAGTTCTGTTTTTTTCTGATTTTCATACTCCTTTCTGAAGTGACTTGGGATTGGTCTGTTGAGAACTGGTTTCAACTAGTGTTGTGTGAGCCTTTGTGAATGTCTGTGACAGTATTAACTCTATTGAGCTGTCAAGTTGTGAATAGTGAAGGGCAGTAAGCTGTGGTTAGTACTGCTTATTGCTAATGTTTTTTTTTTTTTTTTTTTTTTTTCGGTCCGGACATTTTTGTCTCTGGTGTACCGGTCCGGACGGCCCGGGTCCGGTCCTGTCCGGTTGTCCGGTGTCTGTCCGGATTACCGGACGTCTGTACCAGTCCAGACAAATGTCTGCGCCTCGGTCCAGACATGTCCAGGCCCGGGTCTGGGTCCGTGGTTGCCATGATACAGGTCCGCGGTACTGGTACGGTCTACAGGCCTGCTATACAGGTCCAGTGTGCACGTTCAGTCTGGTGGTTCAGTGTCAAGGTCTACAGGTCTGTGGTACAGGCACGGTGTACAGGTCCAGTGTACAG